AGAACGCCTGGCGTACGCCCTCGGAAGTACGCCAAGCTGGGTACCTGCTTGGTGGACTGTTTTATTGGTGCGGGCCAGCCTCGTGCAGCACTTCTTAATTGTAATGTTTAAGCCATTCTGTGGCACGGGTGCTGTTCCGTTATAGGCTCGAGTGTTGTAGCGTCATCTCAGGGACCCTGAAGCTTGGAATTTAGCGCGTCTCACAAAAGCCTGGCTCGTCATACTGGTTGCTTTGTGCTGAGATAAGGCGCCAAGCAGCAAGTCAACAACCAACCAAGAGAGAGCCGTGTTGCTTAGGTGCCGTTCAAGGTTTAACACTAGGGAGTCTAGTAGTCCGGGACGTCTTCCGAAAGCACGAGCGCTGGCTTGAGCTAGTGCCGATGCAGGGCGTTTTCTAAGGGTCAACACCATCTTGACACACGATACTGTTCGTTTGCCCGACATGAACATCCGCTTCGTCTCCAGGTTTTTGGATTTAGTGTTGCTTGAGGTATGTCACGTCCATCGTTGGAAGTGTGCTTCGGTGGATCGCAGTAGGTGGTCCCCCTCCAAGACCCGCCCGTTAGACGCGACAAGTCGTCTTTCTAGATGCGCATGGATCTTCGATAGTTGGTATCGCAGTTCCATGGTCTTTCTTGACACTCCATCGATTCGATAACGACAATTTCCCAACAATGTGGCAACTGACAAATGTATTCCGAGTCCTCGACCGTCGGTTTACATGACGCCTCTCTCACGACGCCTGTAAATGAAGATGTAAGCCTAGAGCAGTAGAATACGCCATCGATAGCACGTCACTGAGCTTTGCGGTGATGGCGCAGGACCAGACCCATCAACGCCTCGTTCTTTCCGGCTGCACGGTATCGTCGATCGTCACAACTAGCGTAGCGAACGGTTTGATCGACCTGCCACGTTCCGATCGTCGCAGGGGTAAGATGACGGTAGCGATCGAAAGCTTGTTATAGTAAGAGGCATGAACACTCCCTCACGAATCATTGGACTGGTGCGTGTCGGTAGCGCAACACCTACACTGGTTGGTGAACTCTCGGAAGCCTCGTCTTGCATCCCCAGACTCTAACGGCAACAGCCGGATCACTCATCAAAATCAAGGTCGATAGAACCTCATCTGGACCGAGATCCAGGTACATGGACATAGCATGAGCGCGTGGCGTATGCAGGTCGACCACTAGCTTGTCTCCACCACAAGCGGGTGTGCCTGAACGGATGCGTTCCACTCTCGCCTGGACATCCAACAACCCAGTCTGATTTATTCTTCGGGGCCCCGGCCTTAGCCGTACGGTATCGTCTCGCACCGATTCAATTTAGACCCACAAGATGGTAATCCTAGTTCGGCCTGCTCTTGTAGCCAAGTAGGAACGGAGTACGGTAGATGCATGAACAAGAAGCTGAAGGAGGTGTATGGCTCAGAAGGGATGCAGCCTTACCCCGCTGTATGGGGTTTACGACACAGTCCTGTCTGCTAGCCACGAAATGCGTGTTTACATTAACAGCTTAACAGCAAAAAGCGGGGTTCAGGAACATCAGCTCAATGGTGTTGTCCCTGTCAGAATTTAGTTGTTGTTCGTGATGCAGATGACGTTGCCCAGCTCTAGTTGTTACATGGTACAATAATCGTATATCGCCACTAAGTAAGACTCGTGGAGTGCACTGCTGCTTGCAAGCCAAGCTAAATTTAAGCATGAGTGTAGCGTACGATGCACCCTCCGAAGTGCGATTCATGAACATAGTCCAGACGTCCTTGGCACAACCACAGCACGTTCAAGGTGTGGAAGTATGAGGGGTCTACGAAATTCCACGTATGGAAAAGCGTGATGTGGAGGTGCGCCAAACTTGAAAGTGCAAATAGGTGTGACCGCTAGGGTAGAAGTGATTACTTGACTAGCACATGCACGCCCTTACTGCTCTGATCCACACCAGGCAGAAACACATCATGCACGAAATCGACGTCCTTTCGGCTTGAGTTGAAAAGTTCCATATCGAACCGCCTAATCACAGCTGCAATGCAAATCCGCATCTCCGCATACGCCAAGTTCATACCCACACATGATCTCGTGCCACGGCCGAAAGCCATGAGGAACCTGTCCAATGGCTGCCCATCGGATGTTCTAGCACCTACAGCGCCGTTGTCATTGAGCCAGCGCTCTGGAATGAACGAGTCTGGTTCAGGGAAGATTGACTCGTCGATATGAATCAAGGGAGCGGTCATGCCGACTGGTGTGAATGCGGGGATGGTGTAATCTTTATACACCATAGGTGAGCGCGCAAGGCGCGCATTGCGGATCGCAAGACCATTGCTCATTCGAAGGCCTTCACTGATAACAGCGGTGAGATAGGGCAGTTTCTCCAATTCAACAAGCGCCTTACGCTCGTAGGGATCTGGCATGGCTGATACTATCTCCGCCTTGAGCTTTATATAGGTGGACGGGTTGTCGAGAAGGTGGAAGAGGATAGCGTTCAATGTGTTGCCGACTGTATCGATCCCAGCGCCGACGATGACCTGGCTTTCCTGGCTGAGTCGCTCAAGGTTCTTCTCGTTAGGTGGTAGGTCGCTGTCGAGGAGATCGTGAAATATCGTGTGCTCGCTATTCGTGTTGCTCTCTGCAACTCCAGATCCCTGCCCGACTTTTTCCTTTCTCGCGAAAACCTCCTGCACGCGTCGGTTGTTCATTTTCCGGAGTTCCATCATCGCTGCGTATTCGGGGCTTCGTTTTTCTACCCAGTCTTGCGGTAACGCGTTGATGACAGAGTGTAACCAGGGTGCATATCGAGTGATCAAAGAAAGGGACGCAAATCTCTTGTTGGCCTGTGTAAAATATGGTGCAAAGTCAGGGTCGTCGAGAGACTTTTGTTCCACGCCCATGGAGTATTTGATGATTACGTCTGCAGCCAAGCAACTGAATGCTTCACATGTAGGTATGGCTCTTTTGGCGAGATCATATTCCTCGAACCTTGTACATAGTTTTTCGACGTACATCCAAATCATATCCTGTAGACCTATGATCCGCTGTTTTGAAAAGAACGGATTCATGGCTGCGCGGCGGATACGGTGGTGGTAGTGATCGTCTGTACTGAAAGCTGTCAAAGGATTGCCGAACTCAGCAGTCATAAAGTTGTATTTGTCGCGTGGCGCGGATCGAGTATACAGCGTTTCTATGAAGGCAGGATCAGAAATGTGGAGTTCATAAGGGCTGATGCGAACTATGGGGCCTTGATCATGTTAATATTACTGCTGTCAGACACGAACGCGGCTCAGTCCCCGCCAAGGGCCGGGTAGTGACATACCATATTTTTCATGCATCTTCTTTATCTCTGCCCAGTATCTACCCCATTGGAAGACATCGAAGTAGCACTCGTAGCACAACGTCACTGCGGCTAGCTTTGGACCTGGAAACTTTGATAGAGGGCTGATGTATAGCTGGTAAACTGCGTTGCCAATTAAGTAGGAACAGAACAAGACAACTCCGATAAGTATCGAGTAATGCGAGAGATTATCGCGGATACCACCAGTAACTGTTTCTTTCAGGACCATTCTTACGAGCTTTGGTTGAGTAAAGAAGTCGCTTCAGATCGTTGGCGAGGTGGGTTTGTTCAGAAGTGGAGAAACTTTACCTGGCATCGCAGGGAAGTAGATCGAGTTCAAATGACCTCTCCAGCTTTATTTGGGAATTGTCCGTGAGATTGGTGCAGACTGAACACGTCATGCATGATGCACGGTGTTTGTCCGACGGTCCATGTGGTGTGTGTTGCTTCTTTCTGATGACCCCGCATCTTCATTTAATGCTATCCAGAGCACACGGCCCTCATGCAGCTCAACAATCGGAAGCACTGCGGAACTCTCTGATCCAGCAAGAACCTGGAATGCGTGAACGTCGTATGCCTAGATGAATAATGAGTTTAGCTCCTGTGATGCCAATGAATGCTGTACGGATGCCTGTTAGCACAGAAACTGGTGTCGTGGCCGCCTCCGTCAGTGCGAGGACATGTGACTTGCTGGCTAGCGAAAAGGACTAAGTGTGCTTGGCATGCATGGAGAGAAATCTCGCGTAGACTTGACACCTCTCTAGGGGAGAGCAAGTAAACAAAGCTACAGCAGATTCTTGTAGGATCTATAAGAGAGATTTGCGACGCTGCGAACGACCCACAAAGGATTTTGAGTTCTATGCAATGAGAACTTGCGAAGTAGAGGTCTCCACGTGTCACAAGTCGGATCCCCAACTCCGCTCATAATCAAGTGGAAAATATCGCAATTCAGGATGAGCTTGTGTAGCATGCTCCCAGAACGAGCTGGTCTGACATTACTCGACACCCTCCCAATTTATCGATGCATGCACCAGGAAGAAGGCATCCAATCGCTTGACCCACCACACTCGTTCAATCACATGCTAAAGTGTTGAGGGCCGGCAACGCGATAGCGGGCCATTCGTCATATGCTTCACGCGCATGAGTCTATTGTTATGGGGAAGACCAAGCGACTAGCTGCACTTCCCGCATCTTTCTGGGCAAACACCCACCAGCGGCCCGTCAAATCGTTGTGGGGTAGTTATCTACGCTGCGGCTCTACCCGCAAGCCTCCATTCCAGTTGCATGCGCTACCCATTACGTACCCCTCCTTGGCGACGAATCATGGCACATTAGCGCTTATTACCACAAAGTGACTGCTGTCTCGACTCGTAAATTTATGTCTACCATCAATAGGGGCACTATTCATCGGGAGTATACCACATTTGAGATTTCTTCCATATCCGTTCCAGAGCAAACGATCTTTATGTGTCTAAAAAGATTAAACAATCTATCCCCACGCACTTCAGATTTCTGGGATTAGTGCATGCGTGCTGCAGTTTGTTTTGGGCCTTTGACTATAAAAAAGCACTTTTCCTGATCTCGACGCACACGCTGCCTCATCGGACGTTGCAAACAAACTCCGTCGAAAGACATCTGTCTGACTTAGCTATTGGAATACTCACTAAGTCAAGATTACTCTAAGTAGATGTCCCACGATCCAAGCTCTGAGTCTGACACATCTTGAAATACATGCCGTTCTTCTTGAGCAGCTCCTCATGAGTTCCAGCCTCAACGATACGACCGTCTGAGAAGACGAAGATGCGATGGGCTTCGCCAACAGTCGATAGACGATGGGCGACGGCAATTGTGATCCTGTCACCGCAAGCAGCTTCCATCAGAGCCGCTTGCACTAGGCGCTCTAATTCAGTGTCTAAAGCACTCGTGGCTTCGTCTAGAAGAGGGACTTTCGGCTGGCGGACCAGAGCTCTGGAAATGGCGATGTGCTGCCTCTGGCCACCAGAGAACTGGCTGCCGCCGATACCGCAAAGTGTTTCAAGGCCCTCGGGAAGTGAGGAGACAAACTCCCAGACATTGGCCGCTCGACAAGCTGCTTCGATTTGTGTAGCGGAGATGTTAGCGGTATCGACGCCGTGCATGATGTTCTCGCGCACGGAGCCTGGGAACAAGGATGGTTCTTGTTGAACGAGCGAAACGTTGAGACGATAGCTACTTGGGCTCATCGTTTGCAGGGGCTGCGAATCTACGATGATGCTACCACTTGTCGGATCGTAGAAGCGTTCGAGAAGAGCGATCATGGTACTCTTGCCGCATCCTGATGCGCCTACAAATGCCACGAATTCACCACGTCGAATGGTCATCGAGACGCCCTTCAAAACTTGACTGTCTGGCACAAGTGGATAGGAGAATTGCAGATTATTCATTTCACATGCCATGCAGCTCTCCATTGGTGCAATACTTCTGTTATCGTTCGTTTCAGTTATGACTGGTTGCAGTTCAGATAGCCAGAAGAAGTAATTCGCCGCTTGGTGACCTTTAGTGAAGCTACCGGAAAAGCTGAGTAGCGTTCCCGCGGAGGTTTCAGAGAAGAATATCGCCATGAATGAGACCATGAATTGATAGAAGCTGATCTCGCCAGCAGTGACCAGCTTTGATCCCCACCAGAAGCCCAGTGCAAGAACGAATTGCTCGACGGCTTGAGTGAGCGCGAACCACATCATGACATGGAACAGATGCGGTGTGCATCCGCGAATAGCCGGATCGAGTGCTGTGGTATATCTCTGCAAGAAATCTTCTTCGATGGCAAGAAATGACACAGTTCGAATAGCGAGAACTGCTTCCGATGCTAGCGATGCGCTTTGGCTGAAAGAAGTGTTGATTATCTTGTTCAAACGCTTCTCTAGCTTCAGTCGCAGCCAGCCGGACAGGATGAGAGGGGGGAGGCCAACAAAGATGCCGACAACTCCAACCTTCCAGGACGTGGCGAGGGAGAGAATACAGCATGCGACAACACTGACGATCGAGATAATGGAGAAAGATATGTTGATACCCATCAGCTCGAGTACAGCCTGTGGGTGAGAATCGAGCTTAGCAGTCATGGAGCCGACAGTATTCTCGGGGGAGTCGAAAAACCTTAAATCCTGGTAGAGAAGACATTCCATCATGCCGGATCGCACCCTGGCGCTCAAGGTATTCGCGATTACGTTCATGGCCCAGCCCAAAGTGTAGTAGCACAACAGGCAGCCTAGTGAGAGAACCAGGAACATCAAAGCCAGAAAATTGGCCTTCGGTGTAGGATCATCATTCCCCATAAATGTACCATCGGCGCAGTTCAGGAGTCAATCTTGCTAGTTTCCAACAACTGCGGAGCAGGCCAACCTCCCTAGATGACTGTGAGTCTTCTTTCTCGCCAACCTTGCCGTGGTCATGTGGGCCGGCGGTATCTGGCCTGTCTAGAGACACAGCTGTTTGAGCGAGAACGTCTTGTTTCTCGATTTCTTCCAAGGGTGTATCGCTGATGTTCAGCAGCTGATTCTGAACTGGCAACAGGCTCTGCACCTGTACGAGTTTGGCATACATCCCACCGCGGTCCAGGAGCTCCGCATGAGTGCCTTGCTGAACTAATTCGCCTTTGGACATGACCACGATGTTGTCGGCATTGCAGACCGTTGAAAGTTTGTGTGCGATGACAATTGTCGTGCGATTCTGTGCAGCACTATCGAGCGCCTTCTGGACGACGGTTTCGGCAGTTGGGTCAAGTGCACTGGTGGCTTCATCTAGCAGGAGGATACGAGGATCTGAGATCAAACTGCGAGCAATAGCAACCCTCTGCTTCTGGCCACCAGAGAGTAGTCTGCCTCTTTCTCCAACACGAGTGTCGTAACCATTGGGAAGTTGCATGATAAAGTCATGGGCAAAAGCTAGTTTTGCAGCGTCAACAGCTCGATGAATCTGCTTCTGTCGGGGCTCGTGCTGCCATTTGGTAGCGACAAGGCCATGGATGATATTATCCAACACCGTGCCATTGAAGAGTACAGGTTCCTTATTCCGTCAGCACATCAGCTAAAAGGTGTGATCACACGACAGTACCTACTTGCTGAACGAGTCGAACGTGTGTTCGTAACTATCGTAGATTCAAGGTTGAGGTAACATGGCCGTCGATCTTGATATTTCCTGATGTTGGATTATACCATCGCTCAAGAAGACCGATGATAGTACTCTTGCCCGAGCCGCTAGGACCAACGAGAGCAGTCACCTTACCAGCAGGGATTTTGAGCGAAAAATCGCGAAGAACCATGGTATCAGGGCGCATCGGGTAATTGAAATTGACAGATTCTAGCTCGATTTCACCTATCAACGCCGCAGGCTCTATGCCGGAGGGGTCCAATGAGTCAATTCTAGACTTCCTATCCATGAGCTCGAATAGGTCAATCGCCGCAGACGCAGCACGCCCGAAGGTAACGAAGTTTGGCCCAGTCAACATAACTGTCGAAGCGGCGATGATGACGGAGAAAAGTACTCTGGTGATCCATGTCAATCGAGACTCGACGCCAACTTCGCATGGGGGGGGGGGGGGGGGGTAGGAACGTAAAAACGGTTCCGAGATTTGCCTCCCCACGGGGAATCAAACCTGTCCTTTATAAAACTTTCCGAGCCCCAGGAACCCCAGGGCCATTTGCTATTCCTCTTTTCTGTTGAAAAACAAAA